TGCATTTTACCCCATCCGGGACTTCAGAAATGGATTATACAAGTGTTGAATTGCTCTGAGGAAAGTACCCATTGACCATTAAAGTTAACAACGTCAATTTATCGATGGTCATTGCACAGCGTAAACAGTTTATGACCAGTTGGGCGCCATGGGGGAGTTGAGCAAGTTAAATATCAGTAATCAATATGTCATGGAATAACGACTCTGCAAAAGGGACAAAATGTGGCAAAACTCCTTCAGTTTACAGTTGCTGGTCAAAAGACATCTGTTGGTAATTTTAAAGTGAAAGTGTCGGATTATCGTGCCCATCGATCGATTCCATCACTTCATAAAAAAAAAATTAACGTTAATTTCTTGGATAAGCTACTAGAGAGAGAAAGAGAGAAAAGCATTTCGACGTTTCACACTGCCTGGCCATAACAAGTCAGCATGCGCATATTTTAATATATGCTCTATGAGCAAATTCTGTAAATGCATTGTTTATTAATATGTATTAAAAATATGTACAACCTTAGAAAAATTCTATCCTAATTGAATTTGTTTCTTCGGGTTGCTCTAAAAGTATGTATTGTCTTTATTTCTTGTCTTAAACAATATAACTGTGTACAATTAAACAATATAAATTGTGAGCAGAGCAAAAACCGGAACTCTGAAAACAAAGGTTGGATCAGGTGCCATAAAGGAGTAAACACCCCTTTGACTGGTCACAATCACCGTGTGCTCGATGTCATCATCGGTTAAACGGAAAAATCCGTAGACAATTCAGAGTGAAAACAATAGCATAACAAATTGTATGAAAAACGTTAGATAATGACATACCGATAGATTGTATCTGCAAACAAGGTTATTGTGTCGATCCCAGAATTTGCAAAATGTTGATTTTTAACGAAATTGTTTATGTCCTTGAATCATCAAAATAGTTATCAATAACCTGTCTCTTTTTAGAAATTGTTCGAATGTAGAACATGCTCTTGCGTAGTGAATCAACTGGGAGACTTAAAACCTTCATGCAGGCGAAAATGGTTTATTGCTCCATAACTAAGGGTAGTAGACAATAGAAAAATTGAAATCATTACCTTAAACATATAGTTTAGTTAATAGTTTGCCATCAATGTTTTATTTTCCTAGTATAACACCCAAATATGAAACAGATGTGTCTAGCTCTGTAGTGTCTTTTATTTCGATTTCAGTGGGATGTATCGTAGTTGTTCAGAGTGAAAAATTATTTTTAAATATTTTTTAAGAAAAGTCAACGTTCATTAAAGCAATAAGTAGATTTATTATAAACTTTCATTTTTGTTTCCTACATAGAGTATTACAATTAAAACCATTTTGTCTGATAATTCAAAAAAGTATCGAATTCCTTTTGTAACCGTGTGCTCCTCTGTAGGGTTCTCAGGGGATGAATTTTTCTCTTACTCTACCATGACTACCTGAATTATAACAAAGCATTTAACTATGTACAGTATAATAATTTTTCTTAAACCTATCTGGGTTTTTTTTTTTTTTTACATTATCTTTAATTATTGAATATATGAAAGGCTGAATTCTAATGACTGGGTAACTCTTGGGTTTGGCCGCGTTTACCTTGCCCCAAATTCCAATTGATAGCAGATACTAGGTGTTTCGTTCTTATTCAGATCTACAACCCCCAGTATCTCGCCTCAATTCCCCGGGATTATTGTCACTAGTGCAAACCTATATACCCTTTCTCTTATTCGTTATTCTTACCCTTCTTTTTGCTTTTCTTCCGGCTTACCAACAGTTTGTTCAGTACCAGAAACGAAACTCTCAGTGCGGTCTATTTTTATACCCTTTCAGGAATGACAGGTTATCCATTTTAGCCCTATATCTGGATTACTTTGCGTTTTCACTAATCATTACATTACCCAAAATATACAAAAACAAACAAAGAGCAGACATACTAAAACTGTAATCAACGTTTAAAAAAAGTAACTTCTGCGTTGTGTAGGTCTTATTTAACAACTTATTCAAACAAGTTATATGCCGTCAACAGTATATTAATAATGTCACATTGAAATACGTCATAAATCGCCAAAAGGTACATTGTATTTAACAAACCTGTAAAATGAAGATGTATTACATTACAGTTATAAACCAGACTTTGTTTGACCCCAAAACGGAATGATTGCTGTGGCTTCGGGTAACAGATCCGGATCCATTCTTGGATCAAACTAAACAATTATTGTCATCTAACCTTGTCAATAATTAACTACATGTTGTTTCTTTAACGCGGATACAAAGCATTCTTATATATATATATATATATATATATATATATATATATATATATATATATATATATATATATATATATATATATATATATATATATATATATATATATATATATAATCTAATTATTAATCAAGAAGTGATTGATTATTACATGTTAATGTGATAAAATTTACAATTCTGATTCCTTGATATCTTAAGTACGGTTCCCAAATACATTGCTTTAAAAGTTGAAGTTGCCAGGAACAAAGTGGATGTACGTATTTATGCATACCTATTGCAATTAAAATAGGGACTTTGTGACATTTTTGAAAGACATAACGAAACCGTGTCGTGGAGATACAATTGAAACCGGGACGTCCTGTTGAAAAACATTTGTTCAAAATGGTTTTCTTAAATAATAAAGTCACCAACGGAAGATTCAATAAATTTCTCAGATGGTGTGAATGCAAAGGTTTATCAACATTTATCCTAATTTGTTGACTCGAACACGCTGTTTCAATAGAATTGTAGGTATTTTGGTATCAAAATGTGTAGTAATGACACCATTTTAGTGGAATTCTACTATTATAGTGTAATTTTATATACGTACGACTTGATGATAAATCAAATGTTGAAGCAATGGTGAATACTTTCTTCCCTTTTTTTTCAAATGGCATGATTATTACAGGACTGAAGCAAGTACGCTATTCTAGCTATAATTACTGGCTTTTGTTCTTGACCATATAATAAAGCACCCACATAGTACTGCAATATATGGTGTGAATCTTTTTTAAATAGAATATCGTCACATTTCACTTTTACTCTATCTAGGACTTCATTAACATAAATGAGAAATATGGATGATACAAGTGCTGAATTGCTCTACCGATCGTACTGATCGGTCATTAAAGTTACCAACGTCAATTGATTGATGGTCCTTCTACAGCGTAATTAGTTTATGACCATTAAACACCGAGGGATGGAACGGGATAAATATTAGTCATCAATACGTTACTGGATAGCGACTCTGCAATTGGGACTAAATGTGCTAAACTTTATCAGTTTACGATTATAACATGCAAATGTCGGTTTATTGTGTCCATCCAGATCATTATTATGCAATAAATGAATGTTTGTTCCCTAGATAAACTACGAGAGAGAGAATGCTTTGAAAAGCATTTTGAAAACAGCAGTTTCACGCTGCCTATTCATAATAGCTCAACATGCGCACATTTTCATGTATCTACTATTTGTGAATTCTGTAGTTTGTGTCTTTTACTGAATATAATTTGAAATAAAATATAAGTACAGCCTAAGAAAGAGTTCTATCACAAAAGATTTTTTTTCATCGGATTTTTCTAAAAATAAGTATCATTTAAATGCACATTTCTTGTATTGTGTTTGATGGTTGTACTTTAAATTTGATGACTTGTGGAAAGTATGTAACTAAAGAATCTTTATAGTTTGAGAACAATTTCCAGTCCTAAGAACGTGTATGCCTTGTCATCTTTTGCAATGATTTTATGTACATTCAACTTCTTCCTTTTTTCCCATTTTAATTTCTTGTATACAGCATGTACCAATCATGTAAAGGTGAAGATAAAAAACAGTGATGAGTCTCATAAACCTAGTTAAGAATACAGAAAAACACAGACCCACGGATAGACTGGAGATAGGAACAGGTACCCAGGAGAAGCAATCATCCCCACCGTGAGCCCTCTGTACCGATCAGGTAAACGGAGTAATCCGTCGTCAAAATGATTAATAAACAATAGCTTAACAATAAGTGGAATATACGTGATCATTTTTTTTAATCATTTGTTCTCTGTTCTTTGTTTAATCTGCAGTGTACATGACGTAATTAAATCTTCGTTCAGTTTTAATGAAGATAATCTTAACAGGCAATCACAGTTTGTTGAAGGTAAATGAATAAAAGCTAAAAGGAGACGTTACAACATAAACTGTTCGACATTTTTTTTTCATTTAAAATATCTAGCAGAAGGGTTACAATATATTAATATATTTTTTAATTTATTTGGGTTTTATTTCAATTTCAACTTATGGCAACACAAGTAAAACTGCTATAGAACAGACAATGCCTTGAGTCTGTATGAAACTATGACTCTAAGAGCATTGTAATTTCAAAAATTATTAAATATCGTCATATTTGGACTGTATTCGTAGTTAAAACAAACTTTCACGATCTTAATTGACATTACTACATATACATGTACGCAGCGGTCACTCATCTGTCATATTCACTCGTACATCAGTTTAATCATGTTCCGTTCACATCACACTTATTTACTCTATATATGCGGATTATTTGCTGCTTTTTACAAACATAGCCTTTTGTTCAGGTCAACCCTTAAATATATAGACCTAGGAGAAAAAGTATCGTCCGAGCACGAAATGCGAGGTCGATATGCTTTCTCTAAGGCTTATATATTTAAGGATTGTACCGAATCAAAAGGCTATATTTGTATTATTATTTTTATATCGTTGAATTATAAATATCTTAAAAATACATGTTTCTAATACTTAATTAATTTCTCATATAAAGCTTTTTTTATGCCACAGGCATTAGGACATTACAATTACAATAAGAAGCTGGAATATCTATTTTTATAAACATGAAGTTAATATTGACTATTGTGGTGTCATCACTATTGTTGCTTCACAAAAGAATGTTTCTAATTTTAGAAACACGATGTTTATGAGCTTTTTGATGCTGAAAATATAAACAGCCTTTTAAGATACTTGATCATGTGGACTATTTTGAGCCAATCAAATACCTGGGAACGATAGAGAATGATAATACCCAATGGAACATCTTCCATTGCGTACTATTTAAAGTATTTTAACATCTAAATATCTTAAACTACAATTTCCTGTATTTTCCCCTTGGTTTTCCTCAGTTGATGTGAGTCTCTCGGTTTTCGATGTCGACCTTTGGAAGTCGTCTGCCCTCTGACCGTTCACTGACAAACGCATCAGTTCTTTGCCGCTGCCATTTGACAATCTCGGCGCACGAGGATCTGCAAAGATTAAACAAAACTGTAATCACACCAGCGGATCTACAATTAATGAAATTTCAGTTTAATAGTCCTTTAAAAAGTTTAAAAATAGAAACTTTAGTTTTAATTGTAAAATATGATCAAATAATTTACTTTTTCAATTATAGTCTCATCTGAAATACAATAAACTGCTTACAGTTAAATAAATTTTCATGGATTTCAAAATTTTGCACTTTGCCCTAAACTAACATGCAAGACCCTCAATAAAGTAAATGTAGATGCTCTAGCACTAATACAAAACATTATAACTGGATAAGATTAATCAAACGAAACCTAAAATAAAATAAATAAAACTAGAAGTGTCATTCAGATTAGATTTTTTATTGTATGATTCCGATGCAAGATTGAGTCTTAATTTGTGTGAAAAACTGAAAAGCGCATCAAGTGCTATCACACATAGAGTGGAACTTAATTCATCTGTCATAATTCACAAAAAAGTAATCACAAGGAAATATAGTTTACTAAAGCTTTCTTTTAAATGGTCCTTTAATAAATGACCAAATTTGATAAAAAATGCAACGTATAATTATATCTTTGCTTTGCATTCATTGAAGTTTAGATATGTTCACTTTTATGTAGGGCAAAAACATAACTACAAGTAAAAGATTTGCACAGACGGGCGAAGAAATGAAACGAAACGCATTATTTCATTTTGGATCCGAGTAAAACAAATCAAATTAATAAGTTTATAACTAGCCGTCCACAATATAATAATAATTAATATGTCAGTTACAATTTAACAAACCTAATAACTACTGGTAAAAATAAACTCCCTATGGTAAAGACATAGCAATTATTTCATTCACATGAATATTTTGTTCGGCATGAAATGTACAATTGCTTGAATACTTTTCTAGAGGATAAAGCTTTTGATATTTAAAGTACCCTTCAAATTTTCGATAAAGGTAAGTATTTTTTGAAATTTGAAAACAAACTTAGATATAAGAGAATAGACTGCATACTTTCAGATTTGTATTGTTTTTATATTTTTTTTGTTTTTGAGGTCGACCATTGTTCGTTATCTTCATCATCTTCATGCATATTAATTCAATTTGGAAACATACTTTTAAATCGTTCATTATAAATGGGCGGGGTACATCTCCTTAAACCTGCCACTGATTAAATTGGTATCAATTGTTTTCTGTTAGCCAGAAACTGAATTGTTATCATACAATTCAGATATTTTAACAGATTATTATTTACATTCAAACTAGTAAAACACTTATGTTCGCTCGGTTTATGATAATTTTTTGAAACATCTTTCACCGATCCTACCGCGTTTTGAAAAAGGCATCGTTTTTTATGAATTCTATAGTTCAATAAAGCGTTGTATGTATTTTGACAAATAATTCTTCTATATTGTGTGTTTGGAAGTTTAATTGAACACATTTTTTTACAAGACAGAGCATTTTTTTTATATTCTTTACTTGTCAGTCTACATCAGACACGGATATCTTAACCGATAAAGCCCTATACACACTACATTCCTAGCCTAGCTTTGAGGACGTGTGTTTGAAATATTACTCTTGCTTGAAGGTTTTCTTTTATTGTAAATTGTAGAGAACTTTGTTCTGCCTTCTTAGTGAACTCATGTTAACAACATTCGTACATTCCATCAAACTCTGCTTTAATTGAGAAATTTTCATCTTTTTTCAATATATGTTTCTTGTTGTGCATATGGTTTCCTTTGACTAAATAGGTGTTTATAACTGTATGATTTATTACTGTTATGAAAAGATTCAAAAATCATTTAAGTTTTTTAACAAAAAAAATTTAACATGCATGTAAAAGATTAGCACTTACATCTGAACAAGCAGTTTGTTGTTCCAATGTTTGTATTTTCCCTGACGTTGACATATCAATCATGTCACGTTATGTCATGTTTGACCTCAGAGGATAAAACAAATCAAAAGGCTTTAACGCATACGATAAAAAAAAATGTGGCAAGAATTCCTATGCTACAACCCTATGTTATCAGTTCTGAGATTCCGTTATAAATCTTACGTAATGGAAAAAAAATAAGAAGAGATTGATGATGTTCCTTTTCAAAGAAAAAAGAAAAGGGATCAAAGCCACTTAATTTGAGTACGAGGACATCACAAAGAACCGAATAAAAATCAACCCATCCTATTAAACTGTTTTAGTAAAGCATTCGACTCCTTAATATGCTATTATTTTGAAATATTTAGTAAGCAAGAGTGGGACCTAATTTTATAATTAAAAAAATGTTACAAACTTCCTCCATCCCCAACCTTAAAACAAATTCCCTGTTTTTTAAAATACTTTTTTGCATGTGGAAGACCTGGTTCCGTCTTTGATAGTGAGCAATACGTGAGACTGTTAAAAAAATTTAAAGGGACGTAACTAGGAGAAGAGAGTAGCAGATAAATAAAGATGTTTAAAATGTTGTAAAATTAAAAGGAAATCGAACACAGCGAAAAACCAAAAAGGACACTGGTATTCTTCACCATTTCAAATCCCCTACTGATTTCAAACATAGATAATGCGATACCAAATGGTAGGTAGAATATTTATAGACGGAGAATAAAGATAAAATATCCTCTCTTTTTTTTGTACATGCAAACGCGACAAGCAGACATGAGCACGTGCATTTATTAATTACAAACATCATTAATTTAAAACATGTGTACGTGTTACAAATCAGTTGTCTATCGTAAAAAAGTAGTGTTGATTTGCAAAAGTTTATATCCTTTGAAAAAAGATAAAAACCAGGAACGGGAATTCCAGACCGCAGAATTGAACCACATATGTTAGGGAGCATAAAATCGAGGGTCTGACATGGTAAACTTAAAGCATCTTTCACATGAGCCTACTTTTGAATCTACATGTAGATTGAATTTTCTATGAAAGATAGATGTTAACGAGGTTCGCTCCTGAGCCTTTAAGCAGATTTTCGTCTTATGCTATATTTCAAAAATTTTGCATAATGTTTTAGTTCTTACAATAAATTTGGATTTTACAATACCAATGCAAATATATTCAGTTAAAACTCTATGATTAAATTCCATGCTAAAAGCATAAAGTGAGGAAATATATTTTGTGGAGGAAGACTTTTTAAAAGAAAATGATCTTTTTTTTTCTCTTTCGAAGTATTTAAAATATGTGAAGTTTGGATTCCTATTTTTCCATGCAGCCTGCACACAAAGTTATTCTGTGCCTTGAACTGTTTTATGCTGGTCCTAAATTATATATCAAATAAACTATCATGAATTCTACCATCATATTTGATAAATATAGCAAATATATTGTGAAAATCCAGAAAAAATAGCCCTAATAAGCTTAAATTAGCACTATTTTAGTAATATCTAAAAATTAACATCACAGACCCCCACTTTTAATTTTCTTTTCTGAATATATAAGATCCTTTTAATTCATTGCTTTCAGATGATTTTATTGCTTGTTAAACTTTTAATGCCAGAAAAATAACATTTTTTGAGTGCAAAAAGGTCAAATAATTGAACGTGTGAAGTAATTTGAAAAATTTTGGTTGTCACAAATTTTAATGTGTCTATTCAAGATGAAATAAAACTGTGTTTGTTTCCATAATTTATCTAAATAAAAAATATTGGAGGAAAAACTGTAAAATTGGTCCATGTATAAGACGTATTTACAGTGCAAAAAGGTCAAATTAAATGCTCTGTAGCGCCACCCCCATTTTCTTTTTTGATTTTTAATTAAGCTATGTGTGTAGATTCTAAAAATATACTTGATAAAAAATTTCTCCTTACTTTTAATGGCAGGATCAAACCTCCTTAAACAGTAAAATATTTAACTTTACTGTACATTTTTTTAGATTTAGGGCCTTAATATCTGCTTGGGCACCATGATATACGTTTGAGAATTTGTTATTTGTGAGTAGTATTTCCTTTTAATATGAAAAAATTGAATGTGAGACATGGAAAAAATAAATGTATTAATTTCAAATTCATAGTAAAATAACTTTAATTTACGAGATGTATAGTAAAAACTGATCTACTAAAGTGAAAACTTTGATACTATAGTAAACTTTAGTTAACTAAAATAGACCATAGTTTACTATAGTATTTTTTGTTAGGGTAGTGCACAAATACATAAATTTATCTTTTTTTTTTTTTTTTTACAAATCGTTTATATTAATCAGCTTTTTCAAAGCATGTATCAAATTCTGAATTTTAGAAAACAATCTTTTTTTCAAATTTTCATATTTTTATCAAGAAATTTAGTTTTTACGGTATCAATATTTTAGCCTTGTTCATTAAAAATACTTAAGCTGAAGGAAACCCACTTATGGGTAAATGAACAACACCCTCCCTCCCCCCCCTCCCAAAGAAGTTGATTAGCGACGCAGAAAGCTGCATCCAGTAATCCGCCAGGCCAGAAAGAGCATAGACTTAGTCAGAGACACTCTGAACATTGACGTTCAGTTGAAATTTGGAATCTGCTCCACACACGGACGAGAGGACACTACCATGCAGCACAACTCACACCGGAGGGCCGTCAGGTAACCGTGTACATACACCGAGAATTCAACGCGGAACGACGACAGGATCAAACAATTGATTTATTTATATAATATGTTTTATCATCTGTAGTATTTGATCATGGATTACAAATGAAATATCGGACTGATTTTGGGAGACTTTCGCTTTTCAAAAAATGTTTTTGCTTAAATATGATTTAGCTTACTAAAAAAAGTAGTGAAGAAAAAAGCATTAACTAATTTTCCTATCACGCTGAAACTTATTTTTTCATTGAGCTTTAAGATAAAAGAATTGGACAGAAAAAACTCCACTACAATTAAACTTAATCATAGATATCAATCACGTAATTCAGATGTTATGTGTTAGTTGTAAGGTTTGTTGATAAAGATTTAAGGGAATTACAGTCAAGGTTACTGAACAAGACAAAGGTATTGTCCTTACGTGAACGTCATTTCCTCTATCAAAAGAACTTGTCTATGA